TTTTTATTCTCAATAAGAGTATGTCAATATTTTTTATCATCTTAATTAGTGCAAGATTGGTAAGCACCTTTGTCAGCAGTCATTTAGATTAAAGTAGACATACAAAGTAAAGTTTTTGCTTCACTGTATAGCGAAACAGAATATAAGATCTGTTATAGGTGTTAATATTTTTGATCTGGTCTGGACTTTGGATTCATATAAACAAGCAACTGAAAAACAAGTTCCTGTACTTTGTCAAAGCAAATACACACAGCAAGAACTCTGTTCTGTTTCTGCGTGTTTAGGTCAACTTTGCATCAGATTTTCTTTGGTGATCAAAGACTCAGCGGGGTAGGTTGCTATGGGTTCTGACTAGTTTCTGGTCAACATTTCTCAGCTTTAATCTTGGTCTTAAAAAAACAGCAACATAGCACTGTTAAGACACAAAACTTAAAATGAACTTGGCTTATTAGAATAGAACTTTTTAGCAAGTGCAAGTTTTTCTTTAATGTCACTTATGTAATTGTTAACTATATCCGCTACGGTGGTCATTTTATATCCAACATTTTCCAGTACAAATTGGAGACGTATGGTGGCTGCACAGGTCATATCGACTGGTATTCATTTGGACCTGCTAGGGAATAAAGCAGAAATAGGGCCAATAACAAGTTAAACAGATAATCTTCTTATACTGTCAGGCAAATTTAATATTTTGATGTTTATCCTAATTTTGATTCAAAGGTGAGCCTTTTTCTTCAGAGTTTTAATTGTAATAAAATACCAACATTTTGACAGCCATGAAGTAGATTATATACAATGATATAATTGTAATATCAACAGGCACATGGTTTGTATGAACTGTAGCTCCAAATCTAGAAATGTACGACATAGCATGTAGGTGCAATGTAACCAGCACTGTCCTATCTTCAATTTCCACGTTTTAGATGTGAATACTGTTTATAAATACTCCTACTGATTTCTTTTCTTGAAATCTAAGATGATTTGTTGGAGGAAACTTCATTTTAAGCTTTTTTTTTATCTCCACAAACCTAGAGGCTAAGGAACCATGCATGTCTCAGCACAGCCCGATTACAATCATGAGGGCAGAAGTTGTTATGACTACTGTAATTCAGACAGTTTTCTGCCCCCGTGGTCTTATACTGTTATTGCCTTTGTGCAGCCTTATAAATCTAGGCCAGTGTAAGAACAACAGCAAAAAAAATGTTTTTATCACCTCTGATGCGAGTGACAATGAATCCCATTGTTGACTAAGTGTGAGAGCGGAGATCCAGCTTCTGACCTTTAGAAGGATCGCGGCACAGTCTGCCGGCGGCACTCACGATCTCACACAAATGTGCAGCCAGAAGAAACAAACAAGGCAAACTTGAGGAGAATGCTGTTTGTGCTAAATCTGATATTGTTTGAGAGATGAGAAAGAGATTTGTCCCTACAAATCCACAAACTTCTTTGCAAAAAAAATGTAATGAAAATTATGAATGAAAGAAACCTTTTCTTTTTTTCCATTTGAAGGAACCAAAATTAAAACAATGCTAACCATAAACTAATAAGCGACTCTGAGAACAAGTAAAACATCTCTAACACTGAGCTAAAGACTTTGCTAAAGCATTCAATGCTTTAAAAGCTGGTGTAAGAGATAGAATCAGTTCCACTCATCTTGATCCAGGTCGAAGGGTTATGTTTATGGTGAACAAGAGCATGGCTTCTCACTCTTTTGCATTATGATTGGTGCCCATCGGGAGCCCAAGGCCCCCCAGAGGCCTTGGCAAACCCCTGTTCCTTCACTGTGTGTTTGCGTGTGTGCGTGCGTGTGTGTGTGTGTGTGCGTGTGTGTTCATGAGTCACTTCTGGGCCGGAGCGTGTCTGTGAGTGGTGAGGCGGAGAATTCAGCAGGGAGGATTGCACAGGGCGAAGAGCTGTCTCCATAATCCAGGGTAAACACCGAGCAGCATGACTGCACGCCTCAGACGTGACCAAAGCCAGGAGAACAGAAATGGATGAAATGATGAGGCTGCCGCTCCCCTGCATGCTTGGCCACTTTTGCTCCAGTTTTCGCCCCTGTTTTGTAACACCTCGGAGGATTTGAGAGGTAGATTCTCAACACTAAATTAACCTCGGGAAGGCACTGCAGGTGTCGACTGTTTAAGGTCACACCAGACTCAAACCTCGCTCTGCAAATATCAGTTAATCTGCTATTTACTGTCAGATCTCAAGAGCGTACGCCTATTTATTATTTCAAGCTAAGTAAAGGAAAATTCTGGAAACCCTGCAGAAGTTCAAAGTGTAAATCACACACACAAAAGAAAAGATATGTATTTGGAACTTTATTTGAAAAGACATTTAAACCAATAAGTTCTTCATTGACACCGCTAAGCAGGGACGAGTCAGGCAGAAAACACAAAACCATTCAGCTGTTTTATTTTATAGTAACTCAAGAACAGGCACCAAGGGTTCAGTCAGATTTTTATGATCTAATTTTCAAAAGGCTTTTTACAGCACTGTATGGCATTCTGTTGTGGCAGATTCAGAGACAGGACCCGCACCATGAACCAAAGGCCTTTGTTTGACCATCACAACAGACAGCAGAAATATTACACTTGCTTTTGAAAAAATATTGAAAGAAATATCCTGAAATGAAATGTTAGAATTAAACGAGAGAGGCTTATCGGCCTTCAAAGCTGATGATTTGAGAGATTTTTGGTTGGAATTTTCTGGATGGTGTTTTGACCAAAACAGATAAAATGCAATTTTGAGAGCCAAGATGTTCTGCCAAATCTCAGCGCCTAGAGAAATAATCAAACAAACTCAAATTTTAATGTCCAGTCAATGGAAATAGAAGAAAAAGCAAAAAATTCCTTCTGTTATTTTAGAAATAAAAATTGATTCAGTTAAGACTGTGTAAATGTGATATAGTAAAGCTAATGCTGTCTTCAAATGTAAATGCTTCAGTAAAAGGTGTGACAGATATTACTCTTCAGTGGCCAATTACCGGTGGGGTTGCTCACACTGAGGCTGCCAAATTGAGCAGAGTAGGTCGAGGCACTTGAGTGACTTGTCCTGCTGCGTGAGCTTTGTGGGGACAGATGGACAGAAGATGCTGGAGTGGAGCTTAATACACCCCAGCCTACTCAGTAACAGTCCATCCGCTACTTCCTGGCTCCAGCTCAACTCAGCTGGATATCCTGTTAGTCAGCTAATGGAGAGCCCCCAACGCATCAAGACCCCCATATTAGGTTCTGACATGGCTGTCTTCATTTAACCTTTACTTATAAGTCTAACTGTGACAACACTCTGTTTAGGTTAGCACTGGCCAAAAAAGACAGTTGGGTTTGATATTAAGTCTTCTGGCGTTTGGCTGGAATTGTCACAGGTTTTTAAACAGAAAAACAGTTGAAAAGTTTTCATGTATCTCTGATGGGGTTATGCAAAGTAAAGTTAGGAAAGTCTTTCAGATCTGGGTTGGAGAAGCTTCTCTTGGAGCAAAGATGGCATTTCATGTGATGGGAGGGTCTTAATGTAAAGATGCTTCTTTATGAAATCTGCCTTCAAGCAAGACTAAGAGGCTCAGAAGTGGATAAAAGGCTTGTTCATAACATGAATTCATCCAACCCCTGTCTTCACAAAGCAGAATCTACATGTTGGTAGAATTTGTGTATGTCTTCGTGTTTTTCTGAACAAATTATTTCAAATGAAGTCAAAGAGAAATGTAATCATTTAGTGGCATGCGACCAGAAAGAAGATGATCTCAAAACCTTTTGTTTATTTCAAACAAAAGTTTTACAGAAAAAAAAAACTGAACATATTTTGCAATTGATTGCATTGATTTTTCTCCAGATAAAGTGAAGCAGTGGTTCTTTCTCTGTTTTATAAGTACCAAATTAGTAAATGTAAAGATTTCCCCTGGCAAAGAATGGATGGACAAGTTAAATAAAAAAAGAAAAGAGAAACAATAAATGAAATTGTTATTATACATTGACGCTGCATACTTACGAAACTCCCACACCTACACTTGCTCCCGATTCATTGTCACCAGCTCTACCACAGCAGTAATTATAGAATAGTTTGAGAAAGACTGAAGTAGAGGCAAAGTTGTGGAATCACTGAATGTTGAGAAGAAAAAAATTAATAAATCACTGACTCAATAATCACGAGGAATAAAGATTCCATAATTTCTACTGATGGATGTTTACATCTCTTTAACATCTTGAGATTAAAAAAATACATTTTGATGATAAATTGTCTTATCTTCATCAGAAACATTTTCATCTGACTGAGTAACAGAGACAAAAAGAAAGTTCCTAAATAAATTAATATGTGAATTAAACCAAGCATTCACATATGTAATGTAAACCTTCTTTGAGTCGATCATGTGTTTGCCAGACATTGTTTGTTCTGGGGAAATACCCACATAAAATATGGTAATGAAATTAAACAGAGAAGTGTATAGGTTGATGCTGGCTGGCCCTGAATCTCTAATGACTCCCTGCCATCCCTGGAAAAAGCCTGATTAATTTAGGAATCAGCCGCAATGGAGAGTGATTAATTCCTCCTGGATTCAACCATTTAAATGAACAAGACAGGGGGGAGAAGGGAAAACACGGAGCCCAAAATATGGAGGCCTAATTAATGCATTCAGATCATTTAATTAGCCACCCAAACAGGAATGCACAGTTACATTGTGTCATCGCTTTGTCTGAGTGGCGAATGGCAAGCTGGCTTGTGTTGCCTTACAAAGCAGCGAATATAATGAGAATCCCTGTTGAAAGAGAGAATACCATACTGTCTTGTTGGTCAGTAAATATGGGGAGACAGAACACATGATTACTTGTTTCTTTGATTTTTCTTGCATCTGACTAAGCAGAGATAAAGGAGAACACAAGCTCATCCATTCCTAGGTCTTCATGTGAAGTGCCTAATCATATACTGAAGACAAAATTTTTTCACTTGAAAGAATCAATGATTTTTTATATTAACAAGTAATTCTCTCTTCTTTTCTTTTTCAGAACGATGTGAAGATTACTTAAGACAAGGCCACTTCTGAGCTCAATTTTCCTCAGTCTAATCCTCACATTTGCTGGTACGCAACCCCATTTATCTGAGCCAGGCATTCCGTGGAGCCCTGTGGGGATGGGGACATGCTCAGATAAAGGATGGACATACGACAGCCTTACGAAAGGTCACCACCCTCCAAAGGTTATGTCATGGCCTCTGGCCCTCTGTCTATTGACTCTAGTCTTTTTGGATCAAAAGATGACTCTTGGACAGACAATGAACACCTTCCAGTCTGAGAAGAGGGAATGGTCGTTGAACCATCTGACAGTGCATCAGTCCACTGGGACTCTGTACATCGGAGCGATCAACCGGATCTACAAGTTGTCCGCTAATCTCACACTTTTGGTATCTCACGACACAGGCCCAGAATATGATAATAAAGCATGTTATCCTCCCCTGATAGTTCAGCCTTGTTCTGAGCCTTTGGCCTCTACGGACAATGTCAACAAACTGCTGCTCATCGACTACTCTCACAACCGGCTGCTGGCCTGCGGTAGTCTCTATCAGGGTATCTGCAAGCTGATGAGGCTAGACGACTTATTTATTCTCGTAGAGCCCACGCACAAGAAAGAACATTATCTGTCCAGCGACAACCAGACAGGAACAATGTACGGGGTTGTCGTTCCCTCCCAGGGACAGGATGCCACTCTGTACATTGGCACTGCCGTTGGCGGCAAACAGGATTACTTTCCAACTATCTCCAGCCGTAAGCTCCCTCGCGACCCAGAGTCCTCTGCCATGCTGGACTATGAGCTTCATACTGATTTTGTTTCATCTCTCATTAAAATCCCTTCTGACACGTTGGCTCTTGTTCCGCACTTTGACATCTACTACATCTATGGTTTCTCCAGCGGAAGCTTTGTCTACTTCATGACCGTCCAGCCAGAGACTCCCGAAAATGGGATGCCTGCAGGCGGCTCACCTGGTGACCTGTTTTACACATCTCGAATCATCCGCCTCTGCAAAGGTGACAAGAAGTTCCATTCATATGTCTCTCTTCCTGTGGGGTGCGTGCACAGAGGTGAGGAGTACCGTCTGCTGCAGGCTGCTTACCTATCTAAAGCCGGCAGGGTGCTGGCTAAGTCACTCAACATCAGTGCCCAGGAGGACGTCCTCTTTGCTGTGTTCTCTAAAGGACAAAAGCAGTACCATGATCCTTCAGATCATTCTGCTCTTTGCATCTTCACTATCCAAGACATCAACATGCGCATTAAGGAGCGACTGCAGTCCTGCTACCAGGGAGAGGGGAACCTGGAGCTGCACTGGTTGCTGGGAAAGGACGTACAGTGCACAAAGGCGGTGAGTGGACAATAGAGAGATCTCATATCACACATGTCTTTAGACCAGCCAAGTAAACTCAGCAGGTGTGAAGAAAAATGCTCAGATTTAACAACAGATTTTTTTTTTTTGGTGTTCCATAACTATGATTGTAACTTTAACAGCTAACAGGCAGTCAGCCTGGCCTGTGCTAAAGAAAGCATTCAGGTCTGAGAATCCTATTATAGTTAGTAGAGCTTGGGGAGATAAATTCCACAATGCTAATCAGGGGAGTTTTGTATAGAGCTTTGATTTCATTCAGGGGATTGAACACTGATTCCCACCTCCTTTTCCACCTCTCTCTTTGCCTTTCTCTCCCTAATTTTCTTCCTCCTGCTCTTGTCACTGTCAGCAGTACTTGAGCCCTTCGAGACCTGTTCTTGATCTTGAGAAAAAGGCCTTTCTTGTAAATGCCCAAGTCTGAGTCTTTGTGAAAGCTGCAATTCCGCATAATGAGCGCCTCTCATGGAAATAAGCTGAAAGTGAACCATAAAACACATTAAAATCCATCACATGAATTGCTCTGATGATTCATAACTCAAACATTAATTCCAGTGTGTCTAAATAAGATGTGATGTTATTCAGAAAAGCTACTGATAGGGAAAAGTGATATGTTGTAATTCAACAATAATTTCCCGCTATGAAGCAAGACGCTCTTTGTATCATAATTGGACTTTTAGGAAGAAACGATTGGTTGCTGCTGACTGTTTTTTGAACACACAATTAATTATCAAAAACGATGAACATTAAAGTGAAACTAGACTTGCAGAGTGAATTGAATGCCAGAACTGATATCAAAAGCAATCATTAACACACTTGGGGGAAAAAAAAAAAAAAAAGATTATTGTAATTTTCTTCCAGACAGGTAAGGAGGTACAAAGCAACAGTTTTAAAACATTTTAAAACTGCTTGATAAAAATTTAGGAATTTCTTTAAGGCAGTACAATGCAAAGGGAATGTAAGAATGCATGCCATACACTAGCACATTTTTGACATGCATCAATCAAAGATTTCTGATTACTGATTTTGTAAAGCTCTGAGCAGCCAATGCCAACTTCATTAGTTTGATTTCTCTTTAATAACCTTAAATGATAGTACATTTCTTGCTGTAGTAACAATAAGATGTTTATTGCAAAACGGGAGATAAGTAATAAAAAAAAAAAAAAAAAAAAAAAAAGGAACAGCCAAATGTTACAGAGCAGTTTGCTGGATTGCTGAAAATCCGCAAATATGGTAAAAACCTCCATTATGGAATGAAGGTATCTGTACATAGAGTAAAACTAAACCAGAAAGACTGATGACATGCAATTCATTTTTTTTTCTTACTATGCTGAATATATCTAGCTTGTTTAATCTTTTCTTGAATGAATATATATCAATACAAAAAAAAAACACAGTTCTTTCTCTTCATGTCTCCTACAATCCTCCTTTCAAACACCTTATTGACACACAAAATATATAACCGAGTCTTCCTTCAGTAACATCCTAAACACTGAAGGGCATTATTGTTAACATGAAGTAGTTCTGCTTATGCTGAGTGAAGAAAATATAATTTTGGCTTCTAATTAGCAGAATATTGATCAAGTTAAAGATAAAATCATCCTATTCTAGTCACAGGTCAGTTTCCTCATGCATTTCTAATTGAGCCCGTTAGATAAAAACTATTGGACAGAGAGAGCACATCAAGACTTAAAACTATTGCTTGCTGTGCTAAAACAATAATATTTCAGCAGTATTCAAATTATCTTGGTCTTTCATTGACAAGTAGGCTAACAGCAGGATTGGGCGGGAGATGGACACAGAGATTCAGGCCTTGTCTGCCATAATGGGGCAGTTAATCCAGTCTGTTGTGGTGAATAGTTGAGCCAAAAAGCAAAGCTCTCAAATTCCCAGTCTGTTCATTCTCCAGCTCTCAGCTATGGCCATGAAATGTGGATCATGACTGAAAAAGCATGATCCAGCATAGTTACTGAACTGAGATTCCGATATAGGGTGTCCAGGATTAGTCGCATAGATATGGTATGGAGCTCCGTTATCTGGGGAAAACGGGTGTCGAGCGACTGCTGCTGCTCTGCATTGAAAATAGCCGGTTGATGTAGTTCAAGCATCAGATTGCGATGATTTCGGATGCCTCCATTCAAAGGTTTTATTGGTTCATCCTACTGGGAGGATCCCCTGGGATCCCTTCAGGGCTGAAAACACCTTAGGATCCCCAGAGTAAGCTGTAATGTTGCTGGAGAGCGGGATATAGACATCCCTCCCCCACAACCCAATCTAAAATGTATAAAACATGATAGATTGATGGATAAATTGATAATTTATGGTTTAATTAATTCATCTCTTGTTGATTTCATTTGTGTTACACCCAAGCTGATAGCTGTCTGCTGTCCTTTAGATAGAAACAGTCATAAGCTCAATATTTTAGATCAGAGGACGATATGTTGTAGAATGTTTTCTAAAATGCATTTATTTTTTTCAAAAGGAAGGTCAGAAGAGAAATTAGTTGGATGGGGCAAGACATCAGGTTTATTTATGCTGAACTTGGTGCAAAAATCAAATTTAGTAAAACTCAGGCAGATGATCTGAAAAAAAAATCGTATTAAGGCCTAACGTGAGCATAAAGAAGTAGGAGATGTGAAATAAGAAATTAGCAGGCTTAAAAGGTGTCTTTTACACTAAGTGACAGACAATTAGCGACGGTTTGAGGTGCATGTTAGAAGATCTGGAAGGACTGCTGAGCGTTCAGTCTTTCTTTGATGCTTAATCAAAACTCGACATCTCTTGTGCTATGTGTTTGTGTGATGTCAGATCAAGCAATCTGAAAATCACAGAAACAGGCACAAAATACACTGTTTTCTTGTGTTTGCCATAAGCTATTAAGTCTGCTCCATGAATCTGCTGGCTCCAAGGCTTGTTAAAAAGCCCGGCAGCCCATACCCTTTTGATGTAACATTTTTAACCCTGAAAATGGCGCACTTCATGCTTGTTAGGCTTACCATACATCAGTTTGAATTTACATCCTATATTCACGTGTCTACGCTCATTTCAGTATTTCACAGTCTTCTCCCTCTGTAATTATCTCTAGCTCCTTTCTTATATCTCTTCTCCTCAGTAACATTTCTGTTCTTCCCTACATTCCCCTCCTGCCTGCTTTTCTCCATGCCACACCTTTAAAAATGCAGCTCTCGTCTTTCTTTTATTTTATTTATGGTTTTCTTATACTCACCCTGACGTTCTGGGTGTCTCCCTGCAGCCTGTTCCCATTGATGATCACTTTTGTGGCCTGGATATCAACCAACCCCTGGGTGGCTCTCAGCTGGTGTCTGGTCAGACAGTGTTCACGGAGAGACGGGACAGGCTGACCTCTGTCACTTCCTACATCTACAATGGACACAATGTGGTCTTTCTGGGCACAAGGAGTGGACGCCTGAAAAAGGTGAGAGCAGCCATGAGTCAATAAATGCTTGCTGTCAAGCATAGTTATGGTATTACACCTGTAAGAATTATGTATGCTTGCTTAGAATAGATTTGTTTATGACTATTCTGCATTTCACTCAATAAATTTCCACTTTGCAAAACCCATCACTGTTGACTGTAGCTAAACAGAGATTAAAGTTTTTTTTTTTTACCATCAGGCAGACACAAATGGAGGAGAAAAATTTTCTTGAGCCGATGAAGTGACAGTATAGTGATGATTTGTTTCCTCCAAAAAAATCAGTTTTGATGCATTTTATTCTATTAATCTCAGTTGGGAAATCTGAAATAGATTATCATTACCATCATTTATTTATAATTTCTTCTTTCAGGAGGGTAAGTAAAAGAGCATAAGTAAAGCGCAAATTAACAAAACAAAATAAATTAAATGCTTAATGAAAAAGGCACAAAAAAGAAATGCACACAAGGCACCTTCAAATGCTTTTTTGTATTAATCCCCTCCCATGTTGTTTGCCACTTACCTGATCACAACAGTATTTTTCAATGTGAGTCAACTTGATAGGTTTTAAATACATAAATAATAGTAAGTAAATGGGTTTAATAGAATAATTTTATAACTGAATAAGGGGAAAGGGAGAAAGGCAGAGAGGTGAATGAACCCGTATCTCCAGGTTTATAAAGCAAAGTGAGCATAGTTATTTGGAAATTTGAAGAAATAAAAACATTTAACCTGATTTCTAAAAGGTGTTAACATTACCTCTTATGTTCAGTCGATAATTGCTTTTTATTTCCACCTGTAACGGTTCCAAAACACGAGCCGGTTTCATTGGGTGTTATTTCTTTGAAGAATTGCCGTGATCATTAGGAAACCTTTACCTGGGAACTTTTTATAAACTCAGTTGTAAGTTTTGATATATTTGGCTATTGAAGCTATCGTTTGATTTGTTTTTTATCTCATGTTTTGCACTTTTTTTTTTGTTTAATTTATCTACCGGTGTCACACTGACGCATCAGTTTATGTTCTTAGTTGTTCCCAAAAGTCTTACTTTTTTTAGTACTTTTGAAAAACTTTCAACAAGCAAATTGCTAAGACTTTTTTTTTCTAATCTCTGCTTTTGTTCCCTTACAATTATTTTGTATTAAATAAGTCATAAGTCATCGACATGAAAAGGTAAAGCTGTCTACTTCTAACTTTTTTCTACTAAGAGTATCAAACAGGTTATTTGTTTATAGAATAAAACCTTGATCTTTCCATGTAATCATTGTGGACATGGTACTAAAAGCTGACAGGCAAGTGGTCAAATGAAGCATATTGTGATCCCAAAAATATCTGGAGAATGCTTGATTGTTCACTCTTAAACTTTAGCATTCTACTGTACAAACACATAAAATAAAAGGTTTTATCCATCAATCTGAGACACTAACAACATAGTTGTGATGCTATGAGATTAAAGGAACACTTCAGTGACTTAGCAGTGCACTTTTATAAAGTTTATTGATGTGTAAGAGACAGACCATGAAAGGAATTGTACAAAAAATACTAAATTTACACATCTTGTTTTGAGAGAATGATTTATTCTGTCTTAAACCTTCTCAGCCTCATAAAGCTCTTATCTTCAGATCTTTATAATCAAATTATTTCTTAAGAAAACAAAAAAAAAGAGGTCTAATATTTCATCTTAATCTTCTAAACAATAAATTAACAAGTTAACAAATGTGTAAACTTTGAAACGTAAAATTAATTGAAAGTACCTCTGCTGTGACTCAGTTTAAAAATTGCTGTATGGAACATTAGAAATATTTTTCTGTTAATATAGAAATGCTCATCACACAGACACATCTGTTGCCTCATTTGTATCTCGCATTCTCTGATGTCACACGAGCCTTAATCCATTAACTGTAATTAATGCAATAATCCTCTTAATTATGATCTATTTAGCATAACTGGGTATGTGAAGAACATCATGATGATTATGTTGGGACATTATTCATTTGCACAAAGAAGCTGCTACCATACAATTCAGATACGTTTTTGCTGCAGCCCTCAGACAGTCACAAATTGATGTAAATCTCCGTGTATGGCCACTTGAGCCAAATATGAAGTACATAAATGTTCATTTATTCCTTTCTTTTAATTAAATGTAAGAGGTCATTACGCACCTGTAAAAGCTTTTATAAAATTATGTTCTTGCAGGATTTATCATCAAAAGTGACTGCATTGACCACTTCAGAGATTTAAAACATTATTTCTATTGTCTTCCTATACATTTAACATATAGCTACATGCAGGTGTGGAGACAACTTGATGTTCTTAATGAAATGCAATGAGCTAAAAATGTTTTCTTCTTTCTTTCAACTTTATTTTTCACTTCATCAAAGGTGTGAAAGAATAAATCTGTGGCTAAGCTCAGAGGAGTAATGAGCACTCCTTTTTTATGACTTAAAACCAATTTTGTTTGATGAAACCATGCTGTGTTTTAAGGTAGAAATGCTCTTTGTAAAAGTATTATTACCCCTTAAACTTTTTTTATGTTTTGTCATGTTACAATGCAAACTTAAAATGGAGGACAAAATTATATTTGGTTTCGATATTTTTCACAAATAAAAATCTGAAATCTGAGTCAGTATTTTGTAGAACCACCGCTTGCATAAATTACAGCTTAGTCTTCTGCCATATGTCCCTACCATCTTTACACGACCGGACCAGAGTTTGCTTTAGTCCGACTCTGAGTTCGATTCCGCATTCACTCCTCCCCAAACGAACCAGACTTTCCAAACTGAAACAGAATAAACAAGGTTGATGTGACTGCACTCTTAAATGCATAGTCTCAACGCCTGGAGACATTTGTTTCTACGCAAACTCTTATGGTGAGTTTGAAACTCATTGACATTCATGGATTCAATAATATGAGGCAAGCAATCGTAGCAAGGCCATCAAACTATCTTGTAGATGATGAGCTCTCTCCACGAGGCTGATAAAGCTGATTCAGCTCATTGTCCACCATGGTCATTCCAAGAGCATCCTGTTTGGCTTTATTACGGTCAAGCTTCTATAAGAGTCAGTTTTGCATCAGAACTAACTTTAGAGGACACTGGGCCCTGCTTATTACACAGACAAACTGCATGCAGCTGACTTAGGAAATGTGTGAGAGGACTGTTGTGACATTAGCCTGGGGGTCTCAGTCTTATGAGAAGCAATCTGACACACAAGAAACACACACACACACACACACACACACACACACACCCCCCCACACACACACACACACACACGCACAGGTCCAGACTAGGGGCACAGATAGCATCACTGCAGCTCTTTCTTTTGATGAGCCATTGGGGAATAAGACAAGATAGCCTGACAGTGGGAAAGGAAGAGAAGGAGAGAGGAGGAAGTATAAGGCAAAGTCAGTCTAATGGCCAAGGGAAAAGAAGAGAAACAACAAATACCAAAGAAGAAAGACAGAGAAGAGATATAATGTGACGAAAAATTGAAGTGGAAAAATAGTTTGTGCAAAAAACAAAAAACAAACAAACAAACAAACAAAAAAAACTTACTATATACTCTCAAAGAGACCAGTAAGTTAAGGTGAGCAGAGCAAGGCATCCATCATGTCTGTAGTTGAGTCCAGGGGGTTTAAAGGCCAGAGTTACTGTCATTACACAGACTGAATGAGCAGCTATGATCTCAGACTCCCAAGAGCCTCCATGGAGCACAGGGTCACTTCTCCAATCCTATTCCATCACACCCAAATGGACAGGCTCAGTGGAAATGGGGCATGACTATAAATGCCATCAGCAGATCACGTTAGTAGCAAAGGTCAGGCCTGTCACTGCAAAGGTGTCGGCAGGGTGAAAGGTCACAAGGACAACCCACAGACTTAACGTCTGAGCTTAGTGCAGCATATGGATGCACTCATTGGCAGCTCCTGATTAGACTGCTCATGTGTCTGATAAAACAGGACATTTCTATCATCATGACACTGCTTTGTAGCCTCAGGTGGTTCATTTAAACTGAGTAGTTTTATCCTACTGGGTAACTCTGGGTTGAAAACAGAAGGAGCTTTCGCAGCTTGCATGCACTAATCAGGTAAAAAGTAATTATTTTCCACTATTGTGTATTTAAATGGATTTCAGTGGGTGAATACATTCAGTACCACATTTCCACATCACAGGAAGAAGCAGGAAAACCCCAAAATGAGCACATTATTCAATTGTGTGACTTCAGGTTGTTAATTTATTGCAATGCTGATGCACATCTGAATGCAGTGATGCGGCATTCATATACGGTTAAAAAAACAACAACTGATCCCTCTGTAAAGCAGAGCATTATCTCAAATTACTCCACTGTTATATGTGTTTGGGTAATTTGTGAAGTCACAGAAAGGAACTTAAATTAAGTTGATGTCAAATAAATGAAATGTCAAGTATTTTTGAACCAAGCATTGTTCAGCTTCTACACCATCCCAGTAACACATCTATGGTGCATAAATGTCTGATTTCTTAATATCATACATCCTACTATTTGTATGTAGGATATTAAGCTTTTTTCCTCATGCAAATAAGCGGCAGACACACTATGATGACATTATGCATTTTTGTTGAAAGCCCTGTGGCAGGTTTAAACAAACAAGCCCGGTGGCAGCTTCAAACACATTACATTTGCTGAGTAGAATTGATTTTCTGCAGAGCTCTGTTGTGCTCTGAAGAACTACAATACCACACTGGAAGATGATGCTCCTCTGACACAGGGAGTGCTTTTAAATATTGTGCAATTTGGGCCAAAATGGTCCCCGCTTTTAACAATAATTACAAGGTTTTAAGTGCATCAGAGTTAAGGAGCACAACAGTGATGTCATAGCCGTGTTTAGTGTTTATAATAAACAAAAAGACGACACCAAATTTCATGAATACACGCCTCAAGACCATTTGAGTGAAGTTACTCTTAGAGTCACAGGTTAGTAAGTACTTAGCACAATTAGAAAAATAAAATTTTGCTAATTT